TTTTAATTTTTTAATTAAACACCTGCCAGCCTTTCGTACTGTTCGTCCGTTTCGCAAGGCGCCAACCTGGACGACGATAATTACGTTGGTTTCAGCTCACCAAGTCGTCGTAAAATTTAGAGACAAATATAAAACGCTGTGTAATCTTTTGTTTCCGTGGACTCGGTATAGTAGCTGGATGCACGGTTTGCGATCGGCTTTGACTGCTTGACCTTGTCCTTGGCACTTGCAGCAGCGCGGCCCGCGCACGCCGCTACAATGGGACCGGGCAGGTCGGGTCGGCGGCGGGCGGGCGGGCTCGCGTCAGCGGCGTCAGCGTTAGTTATCCGAGTTACAGCACCACACCCCCACCTGCCTCCGCCGAGCCTCTTGGCGCGCGTGGCGGCGCCTCGCTGCCGGTGCCACCGCCGCCGTCGGGGCTTCTTTTCGGATATGGCGATGCGTTTTACGACTTCTGGGTCTCTGATAGGAAGCGACGCGAGGGGGGTACCAATAACGACACCTCGGTGACACAATATTATTTTTTTTTTGTTTTGGCGGGCGCGCGGCTCGGCCTGGTGCCGGCGGCAAGGACGCGGTTGGCGTCGTGCAAGTGTCACGCGACGCGACGGGGTGACGGCCGCGGCGAAGGCTCGTCCTGCAGCAGTCAGTGCCTGGGCGCCCTGGAGATAGGCAGATCCGCCGTACACTGGAGTCCGCTGGTTGCCTTCTCAGCAGACGCCCTTGGGATAGGCAGGCCCGCAGTACACCGGAGTCCGCTAGTTGCCTACGTACTAGGCGCCCTGGGGATAGGCAGACCCGCCGTACACTGGAGTCCGCTGGTTGCCTACGTACTAGGCGCCCTGGGGATAGGCAGACCCGCCGTACACCGGAGTCCGTTGGTTGCCTACGTACTAGGCGCCCTGGGGATAGGCAGACCCGCCGTACACCTGAGTCCTTTGTTTGCCTACGTACTAGGCGCCCTGGGGATACACTGTGAAAAATTTCCTCGTAAAGTTACGACATTTCTTGTAATTTGAAATTACAAAATATTGTTGTAAATTTACGGCGCACCATTTTTCCTTCTCGATCAATTCCAAGTCGATAGGAGGTAATTGTAATTTTACAATGTCAAGTTGTAATTTTACGAATTCACATCATGGAAAATTTTCCTGTAAACTTACGACTATTTTTCACAGTGTAGGCAGACCCGCCGTGGACCGGAGTCCGTTGGTTGCCTACACAGCAGGCGCCTTACGGTTAGGCAGACCCGCCGTACACCAGAGCGCGTCGGTTGCATACTCGGTAGGCGTCTGCAGTGACGTCCGAACAAGATTTATGCTGAAAGGCTTTGTGCTACCGCAGCAGCTGAGTGCCCGCGGAGAGCGTCAGAGCGTCACCAAAGTAACGACCCCTCAGCGGCGCAAACAGAGGTCACAGGAAGGAGCCTGTCCATCCACCTCCCTTATTGGATTCTCTTTGACCCCCCGATTTTTTAAGACTGTCTGAAAGCGCCTTACTGTCGCAGGGATAAATTTTAAAAGAAATAAAAAAAGGTGCAAGAAGCCTTTGGTCGGTAATGCTCCGATAAGATAACGATAATGCGTGTGCCGATATCGACGTCTCGGTGTGTGTGGTGTGGTGCCGGGCGGCCGGCGCGCCGGGCCAGGAACCGGTCGCTGAAATAAGACGACCCCAACCACCCGCGGGGAGCACCTGGTCGAATGCCTTCACCTTGTGAGCCATTTTTATACGAGACCCGAACGCAGTGCGTGTGTTTTTTGCTCGTTTTAATTTGCGCCGGGTTTGTTTTGGTTCGCACGGTCACTGAACTCACGCACCGTCGCCGGGACCGGGCCGGACCGGCCTGGCCTGCACAGTCTGGTCAGATAGCCTTCTAGTGTGGGCGAAGTTGGCGACCGTGAACTTGGCGGCGCTGTTGGGTTTTTGGAACGCGTTCAGCAGACGCGCGCCACTCCTCGTTTTTTGGAGAAAGTTGTCCAGCAGCGGCCGGGCTCCAGCAGCGGTATTATTGTTGGCACGCGCCACTGTATGTCACAGTGACTCGTCGCCTTTTTTATTTTACCGCCCCGTCATGCACACGAGTCTAATGGCACGCGCTCACGCACGCCGGCGAATGCACACACGCGGAGTCGGTCAGCAGCGCGGTTATTTGCGAGGAGAGCCGACGGTGTATTCGCAGCCGCCCGGAATGAGTCAGATACCGTGTGTGGTTTTGGCTTAACGAGGTGCAGCGGCGCGCGCTATCCATCTCCCGTGTGTATGCCCCCGAGGAAAAGTGATAGCATGGTGATGCGTGTCCGCGCGCTTGCTAAACCGACCCCACTCTTTTTAAGCGAATGAGATTCTTTCTCTCTCTCCCTCTCTATGGTCCGGTTTCGGCTCATAAATGCCTTCTTCCCCCCTCCTCCTCCCGGGCAGGCCGTGTCGTTAACCGGATAGCACTGCCCGCTCTTACTGCCTGGTGCGACAAGACAAGGCGCAGCGCCGTCGCCGCCGCAGCAGCTGCTTCCATGAAACGGCAAAGAACCCCTCAACCTCTCACGTCACCTACATCAGTATGCCCACAATGTAACGCCCAGTATCACGGCATCGCCGTGTCCGCGCGGGCTCGGCTTGGCAGCGACCCAGTGCAGCAGCAGCAGCTCCGGGCCGCCGGCCTCTATGCAGGCCCTCCAGGAACTTATTCCCCCGGCCGATCATCTCTTTCCAGATGCAGCCTCTTTGGTTCGCGTACAACATACCCCTGCCGCTGAATCATCTACAGCCCGCTCTCTAGTTGACACCGTTGCCATACCCCATCGGCCAGCATCCTCCTCCCTCCAGGTAGTGTCCTCTTGCTCCCTCCCTGCCACCCTCCAGCAGGTCCTCCAGTAGCAGCCGTCCCTCCAGCAGCGGTAGCCCCCCTGGAGCGCCGCCGCCGTCCTGTTACGTCTCGCCCCGACCCTGAACTTGGGCTCCTCCGCCGGGCCTGCTGCTGCCGCTGCTGCTTGAGGAGCTGGAGGGGAGGGGGACGCCGCCTCACGCCTGGCTGGTTCCACACCCCGCCCTGCCCCGCCCGGTACAGCGAGTGCGCCGATTTATCGGTTGCCAAAGTGAACCTGAAAAGGAGAAGATGAGACGCCGCGAGCCGACGCTTTGGACTGCTTGATTAATAATTGTTGTGTTGCTTCGCACCCGAGGGAGATACCCTGATGATCCTCACGCACGCCACGCCGCACACACCGGATAAGCAAATCGGGGAGGACTCCTCTCGCTCCCCTGTCCATGTCCACATTCCTTGTCTTATCCCGAGGAGTCGCGGCATTTTGTCTGTATTTATTTGGCGAGCCAAATGACACGGGTAAGGCCTGACCCGCCCACTCACTCACACTCACTCACGCACGCAAGCTCACCGACGAGCAGACCAGGGAATCATCCGCACTTCTACAATCCCGTTGTGGATCCCAACCCAAGCCGGGTCTTCTCTTGTAATTCGCGAAGAAGATGGCACAGTTTATTTTTGGTTTTTGCTAGAAATGCAAAAGTTATCAGGAAAACCTAAGCAGCTTATTGGCTAAGTTTTAAGATGGTTCGGCCATCCTCACATTTTTATTTTTAATTTTTTTTTTGCATTTTCAGAAAAAAACTTTTATTCTTACTATGAGCTAACATTTTGCTAAACGACGCCCTAATTTGCGTGAAGTCGTGCTGAAACTCACCATCCATCTCCTGCTGGCCCCCCACACATCTATTAAGGCTAATCATCAACGCCGCACCACGCCAGAGTCCCTCGCAGAGCCACAGCAATAATCAGCGCCGCACAACAAAGAAGAATAAACGGCGCGTGTGTGTTTATACCGCGGAGGTTACCAATAAAAATAATAATAAGTTTCCTCGTTGCCATCGGTCACCTCGCCTATTGCCTCGCCGCTTGCCCGACGCGCGCGCGCGCGGGAGATGCGCTGTTCGCTCGCGCCTTCCGCCCGACCCGGCGGGGGGCTGCAGCACACGGGCTGCAACCAGGCTGCTTCACCCGCTCCTCGCACCTCGCACTTGTCGTTTTGTGCGCTATGAATAGTGCGCGGGCAGGCCAGCGCGCGCGACGCCCTCTGTGCTCGTCGCGATGCCATATCAGCCATTGAGCGGCCCCAGGCCGGTCCGTGTGGTGGCAGCCGATACCATCAAGAACTGCCCTGTACCGGCAGCGACACCCTCCCAGCACCAACACGACGACCAAAAGGTGTCATCCATCTGAATTTAGTAGATGCTACTCTAGGCAATATTAGCGGAGAATACATTTCAAATTGTATTGTACACACTAACTTATGAGACCTAACAACACTATGGAAAACTATGCCAATTTACTTCATTTTTCCCCTTTTACAAAAAAACAACGAAATTTACTAAAAGTTACAAACGATCAAAATGTTACTGCCTTGAAAATATTTCTGAGACCAATGAAATGGAAAACAAAGCCGAACAACGCTCACTGTGACTCTTTTGAGCCCACTGGCACTGGCACTCACCTTGCTGCTGGTGATGATCAGCCTCTGGCAGTCCCTGAATCTGCTGATGCTTCTGGTCGGCGGCTGTCGACGGCTGGTCCCCTCCGCACACAGAGGCACTGGATCACTGCACCGCACTATAGTCCATCACACACTCGCGACGACGGGGGCCCTCCTGGCCAGCACTCACGCACTCACGGTTCTCTCTCGACAGTCGCACTCCGCGCCGGAGCACCGATACTTATAGCCTCACCCTATCACCACCAATTCTTGCTCATCCTGGGCTGCTTGTTGTTGTTGCCGATGTTGTTCTTGATGTTCTTCTTCCTCTTCTTCCACCGCCTCCACCACCGCTACCACCTTCTCCTCCTCCTCTCCTCTTGGGTTGGGGACGCCGAGGAGGTGCTTCTTCCAGGCGATATGTGTGTAGACCAACTTCTTTTTTCAGGCTGGCTAAATCCCAAACCTTCCCTCCCCCTCCTGCCCCACCTGGGGACCCCTGGGAGCACATTCCGAAGAGGAGCCACGCCATTGGTCGAAGCTGCCGCTGCTGCAGCAGCCGCCGCCGCCACGGTCAGGGGGGTTGTCGGGAAGGTCTGGGCCACGACGGGGAGGTGCGGGGCGGGGGACCTGGGGGCCGAGGTGGGGGCCTACACACACACACTGACATCAATGAGGTG